CTATAGCTAGAAGGGCCATATTAAGCAATTTGCTGCACCTCACGGCGGCAGATAGAGATGCTGATTGGAGTCTTTGGCAGGTCCTTATTGGTGAATCGCAGTGTAGAACCTTAGGATTTTGGAGAAAGCTCTGCCATCCTCTGCAGATAACTACTCTTCTTTTGAGAAACATCTTTTGGCTTGTTACTGGGCCCTAGCAGAGACTGAACTCTTAACCTGGGATCAATTACCCAATAAGCAAGGTATGTACGGGCTTACTTACTAATCTGTAGTGCACGATATCACCTGTTTTTCATTTGATGTAGTGATATCCATGTGAAATTGTGCACTGCAGATCAGTAAGTAAACACAGTTAAGCTCGTGCATACCTTGCTTACTGTAAGCTGGTGTGTACCCTGCTTAATGGTCAATCCACCCCTGCGTTTAACCATGGGCCACCAAGTCATTACGCAGCCTGAGCTGCCCATCATGAACTGGGTGTTGTCTGATCCACAGTCATAAAGTTGGACGTGCACAGCAGCACTCCGTTATTAAATGGAAGTTGTGTATGTGAGATTGGGCTTGAGCGGGACCTGAAGGCACAAGTAGGTTACATGAGGAAATGGCCCAAATGCTCATGGTCCTCACTCCTCTCACATCACCTTCCTTCCCTCAGTCTGCACATACAGCCTCATGGGAAGTTCCTCATGAACAGTTGACTGAGGAAGAGAAAACTCGTGCCTGGTTTACAGATGGTTCTGCACGATACGCAAGCAGCACTTGAAAACAGACAATAGCAGCACTGAGGTCCCTTTCTGGGACCTCCCTGAGGGACAGTGGGCAGAACTCCGAGCAGTGCACCTGGCTGTTCCTTTTGCTTGCAAAGAGAAATGGCCAAATGTGTGATTGTATACTGATTCATGGGCTATGGCCAGTGGTTTGCCTGGATGGTCAGGGACTTGCAAGGAACATGATTGGAAAATTGGAGACAAGGAAGTATGGAGAAGAGTCATGTAGATAGACCTCTCTGAATGGGCCAAAGAAGTGAAGATATTTGTGTCTTATGTGAATGCCCACCGAAGGGTGACCTCGTCAGAGGAGGATTTTAACAATCAAGTGAATAGGATGATGCATTCTGTGGAAACCAGTCAGCCTCTTTCCCCAGACACTTCTGTCATTGCTCAATGGGCTCATGAACAAAGTGGCCATGGTGGCAGGAATGAAGGTTATGCATGGGCCCAGCAACATGAACTTACGCTCACCAATGCTGACTTGGCTATAGCCATTGCTGAACGCCCAGTCTGCCAGCAGCAGAGACCAACACTGACTCTCCAATACGGCACCATTCCTAAGGGCAATCAGCCAGCAACTTGGCAGGTTGATTACACTGGACTACTTCTATTATGGAAAGGGCAGCATTTTTTTTATTACTGGGATAGACACTTACTTTGGATACGAATTTGCCTTCCCTGAATGTAATGCTCCTGCCAAAACTGCCATCCGTGGACGTAGAGAATGCCTTACCCACCATCATGGTATCCCACACAGCATTGCCTCAGATCAAGGAACACACTTCACAGCAGATGAAGTGTGGCAATAGGCCCACACTCACGGAATTCACTGATCTTACCGTGTTCTCCATCACCCTGAAGCAGCTGGCTTGATAGAACAATGGAATAGCTTTCTAAAGACACAATTACAGCACTAGCTCCGTGGCAAATTCCTGCAGGTTTGGGGCAATGTTCTCCAGGAGGCTTTGTATGCTCTAAACCAGTGTCCAATATATAGCGCTGTTTCTCCCATGGCCAGGATTCATGAGTCCAGGACTCAAGGGGTAGAAATGGGAGTGGCACCATTTGCTATTACCGCTAGTGACCCACTTGCAGGATTTTTGCTTCTTGTCCCCACAACCCTATGCTCTGCAGGTCTAGAGGTCTTAACTCCATAGGGAGGAATGCTCCCATCAGAAGACCTGCCATCTGACCTACCGGTTTGGGGTTCACCAGCCCCTGCAATTATGTGAGTCAGGAGAAGCCTCCAGCCTGATGTTTGACCCATGGATTTGGGAATTTCCAGCCTCCACAACTGCGTGAGGCATTTCCTTGAAACAAATCTCTCTATATATATTATTTATATACATATATACCCTTCAATGGTTTTGCTCCTCTAAAGAATCCAGCCTAAGACAAATCCACAGTAAGGACTGGGTTTATGATTTCCATGCAATTGTCCAAGGGTATTTGTAATAGGTAGAAGAGAGCAAATATCTAGAAAGATGTCAGAGTTCAGGTGACATGAAATATATAAAAGCTGGTAAAATAATGATCTTATTTAACCCATAGACATAAATCTGGTTTAAAAATCTAGCAGACATGAAAGTAATAAAAATCTTCATTCTCTGTGATTCATCGGATCAGTTTCTGGAAATCCACCCCAAGTAAATAATCCAAAAGAGAAAATAAGTTAAATTCTCCCAGATGTTCCCGGCAGCACTGTTTTTAAGAGAACATTGGAAGTTTCATAGATCCAAAACCAAAGACTCGGTGGGTAACAGTGGCATCTCCAGCAGATGGCACATTAAGGAGTCATTAGCAATGAGGGCTATAAAATGCAGAGCAGCGCCTGGCTCCATCACTGCTCCCAAGCCTTTTCCACAAGCGGAGGAGACAGACCCAAACTCCCAGGGAGACTGGGAGACTAGCCCTCCTGGAATGGCTCCAAGGGAAAATTTTTATTCAAGTTTCATGACTTACCTTAAAAACACATGCAAATTACAACGTATTCATACGCATTTTAATATGTAAAAAAAAATCATTCTATGTGGATGAGCGGCCCAGGGAAACACACTACGTGGCTCATGCCCCCATGCAGGGCCCCAGTTTGAGAAGCAGGTTATTGAATGAAAGGCAGGACAGAGAACTGTACGTATACCAACGTTCATGGCTCACTAAAACGACCACAGCAAAACAGGGTGGCATTTAAAATGCTAATAGTGGTTCAGTTCAAGTACTGGATTTTACGTAATTTTATTATTTTCCATTTCCTTGCTTTTTGGTAATGTGGTTTTATTACTTTTATAAAAAATGAGATCAGAAAAGCCTGCTGAGTTGCTAAGCCTCTTGGGTGGTAACAAAATCTGAGGCAGATGCTCACTAGTTTTCAGTTCTATGCTGTTTCCCATTTTGGTATTCTTCCTTGGACTATTTTTAAGAAATGTGGGATTAGAAATGCGAATCACAAGTTACAAATACACTGCATCCAGTTTGCTGTAAGTAAGGTGACAGGAGGCCAGAGACCAAAATTCAAAGAGATGAAATAAAACCCACCAGTTTTGGCACAAGTCAGACAGTAAAATAAAAGGAAAACATGCAGAAAAATACCATGCCTTCATACACTCAACATTCTTATTTTTGGCTGTAACACCGCCTCTGATGAATGGATGCAAGTATTTTATCTCAACTGGCATAATATGCACTAATTTCATCTAACTCGCCAGCGAAAGGAAGCCCTTATTATTTGTCAGTTTCTCAGCATCAGACTAGTTCCTTGTCCCCCCAGGGGACTTGGTGCAGACACCCTGTGACAGGCACATAATCGCATGTTCCCCAGGTGTGGGCAAATTATCACAAGTGACTGAAGATCATTAGGCAATTCAGAAAGCCTTAATAGCTAAATTAGTTCAGGCTTCAAGGGGCCACAAGTACAGAGCTTTCACTCCTCCCTAATCAGTCACTGAAAACTTCCCGAGTTTTACATCAAATACCTAATACAGGTGAATAGAAGCAATTCTGTTCCACTGATTTTTTTTTTTTTTTTTTATTGTACTTCAGGTGAAGGCTTACAGAACAAATAGTTTCCCATGAAACAGCAGTTCACACACTGTTCTACGACACTGGTCTACAACCCCACAACATGTCAACCCTCTAACCTCTCAACCTTTTTCTTGGTGAAAATACACACAGCCAAAGACACACCACCTCAAAAATTTCTACATGCACAGCTCAGCGACACCAGCCACGCCCCCCCAATTGTGCTGTCACTCTCACTTAAGATGAAGGCTTACAGAACAAAACAGCCTCTCATTTAAGTTACCACAAACGTTGCCCCACGACAATGGTCAACAACCCCCCAACACATCAACAATATCCCCACTCAACCCTGGGCTCCCCATCACCAGCTTCCCTGTCCCCCCGTGCCCCCCGGCCCTTCACTGGACTATGGTACCTCGTCAGTCCCATCTGGTTCTACGGGACTGTCCACTCCCATGCCCAACGGCGAACCTTGGAGATAACCTCACCACTGAGCTAAAAGGGTGTCTGGGGGCCATACTCTCGAAGTTTCTCCAGTCTCCTTTAGGCCAGTGAATCTAGTCATTTTTTTGTGTTAGAATTATGCTCTACATCCTTCTCCAGCTCTGTCCAGAACCCTCTGTTGTGATCTTGGTCAGAGCAGTCAGTGGTGGTAGCCGGGCACCATCTAGCTGTACTGGACTCACTCCGGTGGAGGCCTTGGTAGCTGTGGACCATTAGTCCTTCGGACTCATCTTTTCCTTGTATCCTGTGCTCTTCATTCCCCCCTGCTCCCGAAGGGATGAGACCAGTGGAGAATCTTAGATGACCTCTACTATAGCCATTTTTAAAAAAGGTGTATTATTTCCTTGCCACGCAGTACTTAGTTAAAATTAGTAAAACTTCTACTTCTAATTTTATCAAGAACTGGGTCTTTAAAATTAGAAGTCATCATTATATTTATCAACACCTGTTATGGACTGAATTATGTCCCCCCAAAATGTGTGTCAGCTTGGCTAGGCCATGATTCCCAGTATTGTATGGTTGTCCACCATTTTGTCATCAGATGTGATTTTCCTGTGTTGTAAACCCTACCTCTGTGATGTTAATGAGGCAGGACTCAATCTACAGGATTAGGTTATGTTTTAAGTCAATCTCTTTTGAGATATAAAAGACAGAAGCCAGCAGAGACGGGGGACCTCATGCCACCAAGAATGAAGAACCAGGAGGGGAGTGCATCCTTTGGACCCTTGAATAAATTTCTCTTTGTTGAAGCCATCCACCTGTGGTATTTCTGTTGGGGCAGCACTAGATGATTAAGACAGCACCTAATTAATAAATGAGACCATCACTAAACTCACCAGGGCTCAGCACAGTAGGATCGCACTGCTGCAAAGCACTCAGAACTCTCTAATTGTACGGATTTGTCCAGTTAGCCATAACTTTATAATTAAGAAAAAATTCCTCGCAGGTAGCAGGTATTTCTAAACATATGTCGAATAAATAATCACTAACAGTGTTGCTAACTGCCTGTGCTTTGTAAGAGGTGTGAAAGGGAAGCTAATTATACACACACATTGGCCTCCTGACTGCTGAGCAGATTTTATTTTTGCAGCGAGAAAGCAGCAAAGACGAAGTGCAATCTTTGAGCTTTGAGCCCTCAGTGTCGCGGGGACTCCCGGCCTGACGAAGGCTGAGGCATTCTGAATTTCGACAGCTCTAGGTTCAGGTCTAAGAAGGTGTACGCGTTGTAGTCGTGGTGCTGGAGATTCTTGTAGGTGGTGATGTCAGATGGCCCGGCGGGCGCAGCCGCTTGCTCAGTCTCTGTGAGAACAGAGAGACAGACAGTTCTTTGAGGAAATAAGCTTGCACACATCGCTTACATATCAAACAATTTTCATAAATCCTATCTGTAGTGGATAGTTTGTCAAATGAGAAGAAAGAGTAAGGCCTAGGAAATAAAAGAATCTTCACAAGCAGAAAAAAGGTACTAGTTCTACATGTGTTTTAAAACATCCACCCTTAGCGATTTAAGAAAGTTATTATGAAGTGTCTTAATATCTTTGTACACTTCCGGGCGTAGGACCTGTCAGAATTTTTAACCTCTCTTGAACAATTATGGAGGAACTTGCAGGTCACTTAAAGATGCAGGAAAAAAAGGGATCTATTAGAAATCTGCCTATAATAGAAACAAGCCATTGATAGAACTTTTTCAGAAGCAGAAACTAAGTAAGCCTTCCAGTTCCATATACAACAGAATTAGATAAATTTTGACTCTTTCAAAACATGTTATGGGTTGTAAGTAACACGGGTAAGGGAAGTGGAAACAGAATGTTTAGTTTTTGTTAACTTTTTTGCAAAAAGCTATTGGTATATTTTAAGGCTCAGAGACTAAAAATACTGAGTTAGTTTTCTTTTCTTTAAGTAGAAAAAAAATCCAAAATGCATACACCTAAACATTTAGCAAGGTCTCTGGGTAGCACAAATGGTTAAGTGCTTGTCTACTAACTGAAAGGTTGGCGGTTCAAATCTACCCAGAGGTGCCTCGGAAGAAAGACTTGGTGATCTCCTTCTGAAAAATCAGCCATTGAAAGCCCTACGGTACACAGGTCTACTCTGACACACATGGGGTTGGCGTGAGTCAGAATCAACTCGATGGCAACGGGCTTTTTTTTTTTTTTTGGTTTAAATATTTAATAATCTGAAAGCTAGAAGTGTATGGTTGAAGCAAAAGAAGTACTGGCCTCCTGTAACATAAGACACCACATATGACAACATGAAGCTCACCCAGGGTGACCTCTGGAAACCACGTCATTAGGACTGTCTCAACTTCTGCCTGCACTAAACACAAAATAACTGAAACACGTTTTTCTAGTATTTGAACTAATACCCAAAACTTCTTCTCATGATTTCAGCTGTGTTAAACAAAAATCACGTCTTCTTTCAAAAGCTGACATCTTCCCAATCTCAACAAGTAAGGTGCCTTCAGTGTGGTGTGGCTGCATCTTCAAAACAGACTGTGCTGCAGCTTATACAGGGGAGGTGATAGCTGATCAAAAAACCAATCTACCTGGAAGGCCAAAAAATCAGGTAACTGACAGGTAGAAACTTGAATCGGTGTATGTTTTTGCTGTGCATATTCTCAACAAAAACAGTAAAAAATAAAATAAATTATTAAAAACAAAAAACAAAAAAACCCAAAACCAGGTAACTGGATAAGGGGGGACTAGTTAGCGGACCTTGGAGTCTACACTGCACAGGGAAGGGCCCTGTGACATGGGCGGCACTCCTGGCTGCCTTCTTTAGCCTTTGAAGGGGAAAGGGAGTGTTTGAAAATAACATATTCCTGAAAAATTAAGTAATACATTCGCGAAAAATTAGAAGCAATTTTTTCTCCAAAAATGTTGTGATCTGGACCCCCCCAATTCTGTGTGTTTATCCTGAAGGCTTAGGTGCTTCTCTCCCATATAGGACACAGCACTGGCTCCCGCAGCAGCAGGAAATGCAGCTCCCGGAACCTGGAGAAGTCGAGCAAGCGCGGGCACTGTGCATATTAATGACAGAGGGTGAAGACGGAGAGGGAAGAAAACACGTAAATCCCGTAGACACGCTGCAACCAGTTACGTTAACGCACCAGGGAGCACACACGAGGTGAGGGAGAGGCTTCCAACAGAAAAGGGGCAGGCAGAAGAGGAGCTGGGCTCGCTAGTCATGAAGCAGCTTAAAGGAGTCGTGACGAGGCAGAGTCTAAAATGGAACAACGCCATCCGGGTTTTGCCAGGACCCACGTAAAGTGCATTACATTTTATAGAGTTCAAGAAAATGGTAACAATAGGTATCAACGCTGTTCCTCTTGAAAAATTCACGGAAGAGAAAAAGCCCTTTGTAAAAACTCGTCACAGAAAACGTCAGCAGCCCACTGTTTTTCAGCTGCGTCAGCGGCAGACCTGCTGTCCAATGGCGGGGACACCTGTGCCCTCCACGGCTGCCTCTGGATAACACTCACTATTCTGACTCCTAAAATGCCCATTTTCCCTTACGCACGAAAACCAAAACAAACCAAACCCGTTGCCGCTGAGTCAATTACTACTCACAGCGACCCTACAGGACAGAGTAGAACTGCCCCACAGGGTTTCCAAGGAGTGGCCAGTAGATTCGAACTGTGGACCTTTTGGTGAGCAGCCAAGCTCTAGGATGCTAAATTAAAGTCAAAATCTAGTTTCGCTCACCTGAAGACTATACCGATACCAAGTGTAACTATTGTTCTTCCATGTAGTGAGTTAACCCAGAGACTCTCCCTTCCTTATTTGGGGCGATGCACCCCAAGCTCATGAAATGAGCACCTGGACACCCTCAAAAGCTAAGGGTGATGGCGTTAGGCTAGCAGTTTTCAAAAATTATACTCGTTAAGAAACAGTGAAGAACGCCAAGGGGACACTCTTTCATTTTAAAACAAATTTAAAATATTTTAGGGGTTTGGTGTGTAAAGATAGGCATTATTCATAATTAAGATATACCTCTCTGATTATCTGAGACAGTGTGATAAGCCACACTTGTATTACAGAATCTGACTCACTGTAATACTTCTTTATAATCAGATAGACAATAAAAAGAAGTCTTTAGTCTAACCACTCCCTGAAGCACCAAGCAAAGCTCTCAACCATAAGTTGAGGTATACCCTGACCACCCCCTGAAGGACCAAGCAAAGCTCTCCACCAGAAGTTAAGGTATACCCTGACCACCCC